GCGGGGGCCGCCTGCGCCCAGGCCTGCCACGACGCGGGCGTGTGCGTGGCCTGGCGCACCCCGGACATCTGCCGTGAGTTTGCGCGCTCACCCTGGGAGGGGTGGGGTGAGCTGGAAAGGAAATGGGTGTGTATGTTGCTGATGGAGAGAGGCAGCTGTGGTAGAATCTTCTGGAACTGAGAAGTAGCAGAGCCCCCCCAGCCCCACCTCTTTCTAGACATACAGTTTGTCCAGAGGACGACGTAGCTAGGGAGCTGCTGTGAGCGAGTCCCTCACCCCAAGGGGGTGCCTCTGAGAGGCAGGGGGCCCCAGCGGCCACCCTCCCCACTGCCCATCTGAGCCACAGGAGTCTCGGCCACGCCCTCCGAGGCCACGTCCGAGAGTCACGGGAGGGAAAAGTCCAGAACAGCCGATGGGACTTGGTCAAAATGGGGGTACAGGGAGCCGGCTGGGCCAGCGGGCAGCCCCAGCTGTCCCTCTGCGGGTACTGCCCCCTGGGCTGGTGGGAGGCCGGTCAGGCTGAGCGTGTCCCTGCCCACAGCCCTGTTCTGCGACTACTACAACCCCGAGGGCCAGTGTGAGTGGCACTACCAGCCCTGCGGGGCGCCCTGCCTGCGGACCTGCCGGAACCCCCGTGGCCAGTGCCTGCATTCTGTGGTCACCTCCCTAGTACTTAGGGACTAAGCTAGCTTCCAGTGCATTTAAAGGTCTTTAGGCAGATGTAGAGAAAAATAAACTGGGACCCTGAACCGCCGGACTCTCCCTGACTCCTCGCGATGCCTTTGTGGGTGCATCCTGGCACCCCCTGTGGTGCTGCGGGCAAGGCCCAGGGCTGGGGACAGTGTGGAGGCTGCGGGGGCGAGGCGTCGGGCAGCCATATACTGGAACTGTCTCCCTGGCCCCCAGGCTGCTACCCCAAGTGCCCGCCGGAGGCTCCCATCTTTGACGAGGACGCCATGCGGTGTGTGGCCACGTGCCCGCCGCCGCCCTGCCAAGTCCAGGGCAAGTCGTACCGGCCGGGTGCGGTGGTGCCCTCGGACGAGAACTGCCACTCCTGGTAAGTGACCCCATGAGCCTGCCCCCGGCCCCCACCCTCAGGACGAGGACCCCACAGGCCGCCTCCCAGAGGGCCCAAGGGGAGGGGTCCTGGTGGCCTGGGTTTCCCTGGGTCACAGAGCCTCCTGCTGCAGGGCGGGGAGGGGCCTGGAAGGTGAAGGGAAGGGGATGAAGGGATGGGGCTGGGGGCGGAGCCCGAGGCCACCCAGGGACTCAGGACAGACACCCTGGGGAGGAAGTCAATGGGGCTCATGGGCCATTGATTGGAGGGGCCTCCCTGGGAGGGTGACCTCAGGCTCCCACGGGCACCCCAAGGGGCTGCTCCTGCCCCCCCGCCCCGCCCAGCTGGGACGATCTACCCCCCAGCCTCACCTCTTCCCTCTGCCTCCAGCGTTTGCACGGAGAACGGCGTGCAGTGCGCCTACGATGCCAAGGGTGAGCAGGGGGCCTTCCTCAGGGTCGGGGTCTAGGGTCCTCCCGCACCCCAGCCCCTGACCCGCTCGGGGCTCCGCTCCCACAGCCTGTGTCTGCAGCTATGACGGGCGGCGCTTCCGCCCGGGAGACGTCATCTACCACACGACGGATGGCACTGGCGGCTGCATCTCCGCCCGCTGCGGGCCCAATGGCACCATCGAGAGGACCAGGTGTAACCTTGGGCAAGTCACTCAACTTCTTGGTACTTTAGCTACTAGAGGACTGTTGTGAGACTTACTAAATATATGTATGTGTCTGGAAAGGACTACAATCTGCTCCGGGGGGACTGGTGCCCGGGGCAGCGCTGCCAGTGCAGGCTCCCAGGCTGGCTGAGAGGAGGATGCCCCCGTCCTGCCCCATCACAGCCGCTGCTCCCTGCACACCGCGGTCCTCACCCGCTTCTGGGGGCTTCCTAGCACCTCATCAGAGATCCCCCTAAGAGTGAGGAGTCCCCAGAACTCTGGCTTTTGGGTCCCCGTGTCCAGGGTCCATTCAGGGCGAGCCTGGGGGCGGGCTTCCCGTCATGGAGGTCAGTTGCCTGTTCATTCAATGCTGCGCAT